GCGCCCTAAGCTCCTCCCTCTCCTCCCCCCCCCCCCCCCCCGCAGTGCTGATGCAGCAGGAGGCCGCTCAGCGCGAAACCGAGGAGCTGCAGCGAGTGCAGTGGCGACCGCGGCAGGTTCGGGGCTGGGGCGTCCCGCAGCTGCTGTGGTACCTGGTGTTCCTGCAGCCCATCATCACCGAAGTGCACCTGCGACGCAAGAACGTGCAGTTCCTCTTCATCCGCTTCAGCGCCTGGCAGTACGCGGGCACCGACAAGCTGTGGGCCGGGCTGGTGACCACGCTGTGCGAGGGCATCCGCCACCACTACGGCGCGCTGCCCTTCAGCGTGTACTCGGTGCTGGGGAACAAACCCACCACGACGGCGACGAGCTTCTGCCAGCGCGAGTGGCACTGCCGGGTTCGCGTGTGCCTGGCGCTGGTGGCGCTGGTGGCGGCGCTGGGCCTGGGCGTGGGGCTGCTCTACCTGTCCCTGGGCAGCAGCCACGCGGGGGGCCACGGCGCGGTGGCCGGCGGCCACCTGCTCAAGGTGTTCGGCGGCGCGGCCACCACGCTGTCGGGCTCGGGGCTGCTCATGGCCGTCTACTCGGTGGGCAAGCACCTGTTCGTGAGCCAGCGCAAGAAGATCGAGCGGCTGGTGTCTCGCGAGAAGTTCGGCAGCCAGCTGGGCTTCATGTGCGAGGTGAAGAAGGAGGTGGAGCTGCTCACGGACTTCCTGTGCTTCCTGGAGATCTACCAGCGGCGCCGGCTGCGCGTGGTGCTCGAGGTCACCGGGCTGGACACGTGCTACCCGGAGCGCGTGGTGGGCGTGCTCAACGCCATCAACACGCTGCTCTCCGACAGCCACGCGCCCTTCATCTTCATCCTGGTGGTGGATCCCAGCATCCTGGCCGCCTGCCTGGAGAGCGCGGGGAACATGAAAGGCACGGCGGATAACGGCTACCTCTTCCTCAACCGCACGGTCACGCTGCCCTTCTCCGTGCCCATCATGGGCCGCCGCACCAAGCTGCAGTTCCTGCACGACGCCGTGCAGAGTCGCGACGACCTGTTGTATCGTGAGATTACGCGCAAGCTGCGGCTGCCGGTGGGCGAGGGCGCAGGCGCGGGCGGCGAGGTGGTGCAGCTGCTGGCGGTGGAGACGCAGACGGTCGAGGGCGCGCGCTCGCAGGGCCACATCGACGAGGAGGCGGCGCGCCGCATCCACGAGGCGCTGCTCTGCCTGCACGACGAGCGCGACTGTCTCTACGAGTACGTGCCGGACAACGTGGTGTCCATGCGGCGCATCGTCAACACGGTGCCCATCACCGTGCGCCTGCTGCAGCAGCAGCAGCAGCAGGCCGAGTGCCTGGGGCCCACGCCGCGCCAGGCCGTGGCCTGGGTGGTGCTCGCCAACCAGTGGCCTTGTCGCCTCAGCTGGGTGTTGCAGTGCCTGGAGGACCGGCAGCAGGCCGGGGGATTGCCTGACGGCCGCGCACGCCTCTGGGACGTGTTCTGCGACAACAGTCGCGAACTGCACACCATGACCAAGGCTCTGCGGAACGTGCTGGACCTGGACGGGGACCCTGAGCTCTTCGAGCGTTTCCTGGGGGGTGATTTTCCCTTCACCGTGGCCGAAGCGCAGAGCCTGCTCCGATGCACGGTCAACCTGGACCACTCCATCCGCCGTCGCATGGGGCTCATCCGGGCCGTCAGTGCCCTCAAGCCCCCCAGCCCGCCCAGGTCCCCTGCCACCCCGGATGCTTCCCATGCAGCCAACAGAGCCAACAACGAGTCGGGGGCAGCCCCAGCCGGCCGGATATTAAAGCAGGCCAATGCAGTCCACGCTCGGGACTGGGCCTCTGGGGCCGAGTTGAGGCCAGTAGTTTGAGTTCCCAAACCCCCCTGGGTCTTGGAATGGGGGCCTCCCACCTGGATGACCGGGGCAGGGGTGGGACTGGGCCTCAGGCCCCACATGGAGGAGGCCATTGGTGACCACGTACCCCTGGATGGCTCTGAGAGCCCCAGTGGGAGAGGCAGGCTGTGGCCTCCAGAAGTGGACCTGTGTCACTGAGCGCCGAGGGAAGGGCCAGTGGAGGACATGGAGTTCAAGTGCAATAAAAGATGTGGAAAGCTGGGTTGGTCTCCATGGCCTGGATTTCCTGGCTCCAGGAGGCCCGGAATCAGGCCTGCCTCACCCTGCCCCAGCTCACTTCCTCCCCAATTTGCCAGGCCTCTCTGAGCTACCCAAGCTGACATCCTGGGTGGCAGGAGGGTTGAGGAGGCAATGGGCGGGGCTGTGGGGGCAGAGCCGATGAAGGTGGATGGCCAGGTTGACTCAGGCAAAGGGAGCACCCAGGCCTCAAGCGATCCCAGCCCTCGCCCCCACACACTGGCCTGGCCTCCATGGGCAGGAGCTGGCATTTCCCAAGGGGCTGCCCCAGGGGGCCTGGGAGACCGCCTTGCCTCACCATGGGGGTTACTGAGGTCTCAGCCAGCATGGGTGGCTGGCGCTGCCTCCCAGCAGTTATTGTCTGCAGGCCCATCACTTGCTCAAGCCCCTGCCCCCAACCCCCCAATCCAGATTTTGGGGAAGTTGAGGCATAGGGATGGGACACATGGGGCAGAGAGGCTCATACCCAGGTAGGCTGTTCTCTGTGGAGTGCACAGGAGACAGCCAGGAACAGGAGGGTGTCACTGAGCCAGCACCCTGAGGACTGAGAGTCCCAGAGGGACCCCCAGCAAGTTGAGGGCACTTTCAGGTCACGTGGCCCAGGGCTGGAAAACTGAGCTCACGTTACTCAGCTCCCAGGCCAGCGGCTGCCAGACAGATGGACACAGGTCAGTCCCGGTGACCTTCAAGGAGCTGTGAGGTGCTGGGGGCCACGTGACCCCATCAGGCCAGGGTCTCCAGTCCCCTCCCCTAGTCCAGTGGGGGCTGGACAAGCGGGTCCCAGTGCCCGGGAGTCAGGTGGGAGCTGGCACAAGTGCAGCCCAGCTGTCAAAAGCTGCAGCTTTGCTGGCCTGTGGTGGCGTGGGGGGTTAGTTACCTGGTAAAACCAATGCAGGACTTCAGATACCTGTATGTAGGGGTGGGTGACTCTGCCACCCGGACACACATGGCCCTGTACACACCTCCAGCTCTTCTAGAACTAGCTACGGGGAAGCCAAGGGGTTCCCTCTGCCTCCAGTCCCCAACCCAGAACCCCCAGAGAACAGCTAGCTCTTCCCCCCAGATGTCACAACCAAGTCCCACAGACAAGATGATTTAGAACTGCAGACGTTTATTGCTTGGCAGGGCTGCAGGCTCCAAGTTCAAGGTAAAGGGGGGGGGGGCGCTCTTCCTGCTCCTCCAGGCTTCTGGCTCCCAGCTGGTGACCTTGACCTTCCCAGTCTTGTGGACGAGGCCCCAGTCCTAAGCCTCCTCAGGCCCCGCCCCTCCTTTTCCTGAGTCTTCTCTGGGTTGGCCAGGCCGGCCCTGAACTCAAGCCTTCTGGACTACAAGTGAACACCTAGGTTTTGTAGGTCACGGGGCTTGAACTCAGGGTCTGAGCTTCATCCCTGAGCTCTTTTGCTCAAGGCTAGAGCTCTACTTTTTTTTTTTTTTTGGTCCGATTGAGGGGCTTGAACTCAGGGCCTGGGCGCTGTCCCTCAGCTCTTCAGCTCAAGGCTAGCGCTCTAACCACTTGAGCCACAGCGCCACTTCTGGCTTTTTTTCTTTTTGCCTATGTGGTGCTGAGGAATCGAACCCAGGGCCTCAGGCATGCAAGGCAAGCGCTCTACCACTGAGCCACCTTCCCAGCCCCAGCTCTACTATTTTGAGCCACACAGCCACAGAAGCTCCGCTTCTGGTTTTCTGGTGGGTAATCAGAGATAAGAGTCTAATGGACTTTCCTGCCTGGGCTGGTTTTAAACTGCAATCCTCAGATCTCAGCCTCCACAGTAGCTAGGATTACAGGCCTGAGTCACTGGCCCTGGGCTTGGGTTGTCTTTTGTGTGATTAGGGATGGAACCCAGGGCCCAGGCATGCTCTACCTTGTCCTAGGCCCCCAGCCCAAAGCTCCTCACTGTTTTGGAGCTACAGGGGCTTGAAGTCAAGGCCTGGAGCTTGCTGGACAGGCTCCCTTCCATTGAGCCATGCCCTCGGCACTGTCAGGCTTCTCAGGGGCTTGCACTGTGCCCAGGAGAGCTTCAGACCATGACCCTCTTATTTAGGGTCTCCAGCTCGGCTGAATGACAGGCGACACATACACCACTGTACTATGCTCCCTAACCAACACTGTCTGGATGGCCTCACATTGGGGTTCTCCCTAGTTGGGCACCAAGGGTGGACTATCTTTAACTTCATCTAGAAGAGGTTGGAACCAGGGTGGCCTGGGGGGGGGGGGCTCTTCCCAGCCCCCCTCTGACATGATGGCCACAGCAGTGAGAGGTGGGGGGAGCCAGGGCTCACAGCGGTGCTGGAGTCGGGTTTGAGGGGCAAGGCAGGGCAGGCAGGTGACATGGCTCGTAGTGGCTACCTGTGCCCTGCATACAGGCCTGCGGTGTGTTCAGTGGGAAGGGCACTGTCACCGACACACAGGGGAGGTCAGCACAGAGACCGAGGACACCTCTGTCCCACAGCAGGCCACACAGGACAGCAGCAGTGGGGGTCATGGCCTTTCCTTACCAGTGACCCCAAGTTCTACGGGGTGGGGTGGGGGATATTTCCCAGCAGTGCTGAGCCATTGCAAGGCACTTGTGATGGAGCTTGTGGGCTTCTGGGGCTTTGGGCCTGGGGAGACCAATGGGTGGGGCTATGCTAGACCCCCATAATGGAGGTAGGCAGGGGGGTGGAGGGGTGGGGAGCCATGGCTGGGGTCACGCAGGGGCCAGGAACTCTGCCTAGCCCCCAGCAGGAGCACCGGGGTGAGCAGAAAGCAGAGGGGCGAGTGGTGAACCCAGCCCCGGTTTATTAGAAAAGGTGTGGACAGAGCTGCACGGACAGGAGTGACCCCCCACAGCCTTGGCCCTGCCCGCCCCCGCCTGCACCCCGCTGCCCCCCCAACCCCACTGTAGTGCCTTCCAGGGCGCAGCCTCAGAACCCCATGGCTGCCAGCCCCGGCTCCCTGATAGATTTTATTGCACGTAAGAAAAGGAAAGCTCCGGCCCTCGGCGGCCCTGCCCGCCCGCTTCCAGCTGCCGCTGCTGCCGCTGCGCTGCGCAGGGCGGGCCTTGTGCGGCGGGCGCTCTGGAACCAGGGCGGCCTGTGTCCATGGAGCCCCCCCCATAGTCCCCCCCCCAGAGCCCCGAGTCCGTGTCAGCACAGACACATTTAAGCACAAGGGCGGAGTCCGTGGAGCTGCCCAGTCCCGCAGCTCGTGTGGGCCCTGCCCTGGCCCCCGGGGGTGTGGGGGGGCTGGGGGGGGCTGGGGGGGGGGGGCGGGTTCTCATGGCTCTGGCCTCGGCTTGTCCAAGACTGACCGGAAAAAAAAAAAAAGGAACTGGGGGACAGAGATGAAGAGGGGGCGTCAGAGCAGGGGCTCCTGCGCCCGCCCCGCCCCCGGGGGGCTGCACCCACCTAAAGTGTCACAGTGTGTGCTGTGCCGCCTCCTGGCTGGCGTCCCGCAGCAGCTCCTCCAGCTCCCGCTCGTCCTGGGCGCAGCGCAGCTCTGTGCGGGCGGCGCCCACAGTGAGTGACCGGCCCGTGCAGGCGCCGGCCCCCCACCCCGGGGACAGCTCTGGGGGGCACCCCTCTCGTCCCCAGCAGTGCTGGCCTGGGTCCCCAAGCGCCTCACCGTGCTCCAGGCCGCAGCTGCCCCCCTTGGCCTCTGACCCCGGAGGTGGCTCTGGGGGCAGCGCCAGGGCAAACTCCGGCTTCAGGCCGTTGGGCAGCGCCGGTCCTGACGGGGGCGCCTCCGGCTGGGGCTCGGGCACCCCTGAGTCCTGTGTGCCGATGCGCTGCACTGGTGGCAGGACAGGGGGGGAGGGAGGAGAGGGGGGAGGCAGGGAGGCACAGGCGGGGGGCACCGGGGGCTCTGCCCTCTCTGGTGGACTCTCTACCCGGGTCACCACAAACACTTTGTGGCCGCGGCCCGGGCTGGACACGGAAATCCGCTGTTCCGTGGGCGAGGAGGGGCTGCCTGGGGACTTCGGCTCCTGGGGGCTCAGGGAGTCCGTGGGGGGAACCAGGGCAGGGCAGGGGGCTGAAGGGCTCTGGTCACAGCGGGCCTCTTCCCTCTGCCTGTCGTCTTCCTCCTCCTCGCCATCCTCCTCTTCCTCCTCCGCCTCTGAGTCTGAGTCCGAGTCTGAGTCGGGTAGGGACCTGGGGCTCGTGGCCCCGTTGTGTGCCCCTGTGGTGGTGGCGGCGGGGTCCCCGGACTCCTCGAGGGGCTGGGGCTGGGTGATGGTGATCTCGGGCATAGATGCAGACAGCTGCAGCTGCTGCTCCTTCTCCTCTCGCTCCCGCGCCAGCACAAAGTTGCGCTTGCAGCCATTCTGGATCTCAGTGAGCAGGGCCTTCTGCGTCTCGATGAAGCTCTTGACCTGCGGGTGGCATGGCCTGGCTAGGGCGCTGGCTACGGGGGCCACCTTCCCCACCCTGGGGCCTGGGCCGGGCAGAACCCCGCTCACCGCCTCCTTCTTGGGCTCCCGGTCGAGGTCCAGGCGCAGCAGCGAGTGGTTCACCTTGAGGGCCAACGACAGTGCCATGAGCCCGCCCGTCTTGATCTCGTTCTCCCGCAGGTCCAGTCTCAGGAGGCGAGGGCACTCAGCGATGAACTCGGCCACCGCCACCGCACCTGGGAGGGGGACCGAAGGGCTGGCCATGGGGCCCCAGGCTGGCTGGCCGCCGCCCCCCCCCCCACCGCGCCAGCTCGCACCCTACCCTCGCAGGTGAGCTTGGTGGAGGCCAGGCCCAGGCGCACCACGCTGCGGTTGCCGATGAGCCCGTTCTTGAGGTTGCGCACGCCCTCATTCCCGATGGGGTTGTGGCCCAGGTTCAGCGTCTCCAGACTCTGTGTGTGTGGCTGGAAGGGCAAAGCCCATGGAGGGGTAGGCAGGGCCCCCCCCACCAAAGACGCATCAGGAAAGAGGCCGGTGCAGAAGCGGACAGGGCCGCTCCCCGCCGTGTGTGTGGGCGCCCCGCCCGCTGGCCAGCCTGTGCCGGGCACTCGGCTGGGTCCTGTCCTGCCAGCCCCGCAGCTGCTCGCCTTGCTTTCCGCGCTACACAACGGGAGGACCAAGCCCTCGCCATCACCATCTTTAGGCAAACGTGCACAGGGCCATGCCGCCGTCTGGCCCACAATGGCAATGAAAGAAATGGCACGGAGCCGGGCGGGCTCGGGGACTCACCAGCGCCATGCCCAGGAAGGCCATGCCCGTGTGCGTGAGCTGGTTGTTCCACAGCACCAGGGTTGCCAGCCCTTTCCTCTGCTCCTTGAGACCCTCGCAGATGTAGGCCAGACCTAAGGGAGGTCAGGGCCCAGCCTGTGGCTCTGGGATGTCTGTCCCCAGGGGACATTTCTTCTTGCCATCCCTGGCCTGCCCAGCCTACTGTCTCTGGCTTAGACAGCCCCCCAAACCCTGGGCTTGAACTGCTCGTGACCCTGGGCCCCAATGATGGCTGCCACGTGTCTCACCCTCTGGCAGATGGCATTTCACTCGCTGCTCCCTCCAGGCTGAGTCCCAAGGTGGGTGCTTAAGCAGTGCCCTCTCTGCCCCGCAGCCCTTACAGTAGCTAGGGATTCTGCTCAACAGAGGCAGGGAGGAACCAGAACTCTCCTCCTCTCCGCCCCCTGCTCGCTGACCTTCTCCCTGCATGGAGTGTCTGAGCTCGTTTCCACCCAGGGCCTTTGCCCCTGCCTCCCGCAATGCCTCCTTCCCTGCACAGGCCCTGCGGCCCCGCCCATCTTCACAGCACACCCTCGCTCTGAAAACGCCTTCCTGTCAGGCTTTGCAGAGCAGAATTGCTACAAATTTTCATCCAACAACTCCTTTCCACTCCAGGGAACCCCGTGGCCTGAGCCCAGCCAGGGCACCCTTGACTCGCTCAGGCCCCAATCTGGGGCTCACTTCAAGCCCTGGAGGGCAGTATGAAGCATGGGGGGAGGGGGTGCAAACCTGGGTGCCCAGCGCTGCTCCGCAGGGCTGGGCTCACCTGAATCGAGCACGTGGTTGTTGCGCAGGTCCAGGGTCTGCAGGGAGCAGTTGAACTTGAGCAGGTTGCCCAGGTGGGCTGAGTCCTGCAGGCCGTTCAGCTTGTTGTCAGCCAGGTAGAGCTCCCGCAAGTTCAGGTTCATCTTCAGGGCTGTGGCTGCAGGATGGGGGGTGGGTGTGTGGCTGGCAGCCCAGCGGCCGGCTCACAAAGACCCAGGGGTGCTGGGGTGGGAGGCGGGGCTCACCAAGCAGCACGAGGGGCCGCCCCGACAGGCTGGCGTTTTCCAGGTGCAGCACCGCCAGGCTGCTGCGGATGCGCAGGGCCCGCGCCACGAAGGGCGCTGAGTGGTCCAGCAGGGGCGTGCTGCGAGCGTCCAGGTACTGCAGGCAGCTTGTCTGACGGGGACAGGGGACGGGGGGATGTCAGGCTTGGCTCCAGCCCTCTCTGGCCACAGGCAGCAGCATGGCCACCTTGCAGGGGCAGGGGGCGCAGGAGGGCCGCACCTTGCGCATCATGTGGGCGGCGGCCTGCCAGCCCCGGGTGCCAATGTGCTTGTTGAAGGAGATGTTGAGGTGTGTGGCGGACTCATAATACTCGATCATGTCGAAGAGGGCCGAGGCGCCCTGGGGACAGAGACGGCAGTTCAGCCTCTGCCCAAGTGGCTGGGCCAGCCGGTGCCCTGGCCTCGGTCCCAGCTGGTATGCCAGGTGACCAGAGCAGCCTGGGCCCCGCCCACCACCACGCCCCTCCTGGGGCCTCTCACATCTTTTTTTTTTTTTTTTTGGGGGGGGGGGGGTCTGGTTGTGGGGCCTGAACTTGGCCTGGGCCCTGTCCCTCAGCTCTTCAGCTCAAGGCTAGCGCTCTACCACTTGAGCCACAGCAGCACTTCCGGCTTTTTTCTTTTTGCTTATGTGGTGCTGAGGAATCAAACCCAGGGCCTCAGGCATGCAAGGCAAGTGCTCTACCACTGAGCCACCTTCCCAGCCTCCTCTCACATCTCTTGACAATGGGGCTTGACAATCTCTTGCCTGGGGCTCTAGGCAAATAAGGACAGGCAGGGGGGGGGGGGGCTTCCACATGACTTCTGGTGGCCCTACCCCCACCCGTCTAGGTCGCCCTCCCTCCTTTGTGCTCACATCTTCATCCAGGCTGGTCTGCTCCAGGTCCACCATCTTGAACTGCAGCCGCTTGAAGACCTCCTCCAGGGCCTCGCAGGCCTTGTAGTCCAGCTTCTCCCCTGAGAGGAGGAGGCAGGGACGGCGGACGTGTCCAAGATGGCCTGCGAGCGCTGGGGATGGGGGAGCTCCCCGGTGGGCATTGCCCCTACCCTGCCCTCAGCCCTGCGCAGGCCCCAGCCCTGCCTGGGCTCCCGTGTCTCTGTGCTCATCCCACCTTTCAGGTCCAGGCAGTCAATGCGGTGCTCGAGGTCCGTGAACTCCTAGAAAAGTAGGGGCGGTCTGTGCTCGGGGCAGAAAGACACCCCGGATGCCAGGCTACCCAACAGCGGGATGGCGGTGCTCCGAACCCAGGATGGGCCCACCGGGAGCCAGGCAGGCCTGCTAGACCAAGTGAGGGCGCAGGCTACTGGTGGACAGCTAGGCCGAGGGCACAGCCCGCGTGAGGGGCTGAGGTGAGGCAGGGCCCAGCATGCACTCTGTCCTGGCTCAGCCCTGCATGGAGCGCCCCCTTCTGGCGTTATATGGAACCCCAAGCCTCCGGGCAGAGAGGGAGGCGGAGAGGGCCGCACAGCTGGCTACAGGAGGGCGCTGTAGGCACAGTGAGTAAACACTCACTGGAACTGATAACCTCCCCCCTACAGCTGCCCTCCCCTCCTAGGGAGGGGACTCATCTCCATAGGGGCACTCTGAAATTTAAAGTAGATTATTTATTTTTTTGGTGGCCATGGGGCTTGAACTCTGGGCCTGGGCGCTGTCCCTCAGCTCCTCAACTCCTCAGTTCAAGGCGAGCGTTCTACCACTTGAGCCACTGCACCACTTCGGGTTTTCTGGTGGTTCACTGGAGATAAGAGTCTCATGGACTTTTCTGCCCAGGCTGGCTTTGAACCACCATCCTTAGATTTCAGCCTCCTAAGTAGCTAGGATTACAGGCGTGAGCCACTGGCACCCAGCTTAGATTTGCTTTCTTGTCTATATTTTAACAACTTCAATAAACAACAATTTCTTCCTCTTCCTCCTCTTCTCCTTCTTCTTGTACGGAGATTTGAATTCAGGGACTTATGCTTGCCAGGCAGGTGGCTCTACCACTTGAGCCTTTTCAATACTGGGGCTTGAACTCAGGGCCTGAGCACTATCCCTGAGCTTCTTTTGCTCAAGGCTAGCACTCTACCACTTGAACCACAGTGCCACTTCTGGCTTTTTCTGTGTATGTGAAATCGAACCCAGGGCTTCATGCATGCTAGGCAAGCACTCTGCCACTAAGCCACATTCCCAGGCCATCTTTTTGCTTTATCTTCTGGAAAGGGTCTCATGCCTTCTGCCTAGATCCCCAGACTTATGGGAATTGTATGCATGGCTTTCCACTGCAGAATAGTTTCTTTTGTTTCTCTTTTGCCAGTCACGGGGCTTGAACTCAGGGCACAGGCACTGTTCCAAAGCTCCTTTTGCTTAAGATTATCACTCTTACCATTTGAGCCAGAGCCCTACTTCTGGCCTTTTTGTGGATCATTGGAGATAAAGTCGCAAAGACTTTCCTACCTGGGCTGGCTTCAATCCACGATCCTCAGATCTCAGTCTCCTAAGCAGCCAGGATTACTGGCATGAGCCTAAAGTTGTGGAACACAGGCCTTCCCACCCCGACCCCTTACCTGCAGCTGCCGGAGGAGCTTGGGGATCTGCCGGCAGTTCAGTTTCTGGCATGCCTGTCTGTAGGCGCTGATCACCTCATCCACGGTCACGTTCTGGGCTGTGGGCAGAGGAAAAGAGGCTGTGAGGGTTTTTCCCGCAATACCTGGGGTTCAGTCCAGAGCCTTGTTCTCGCTCGGCAGGCACCATGCCATGCCCTGGTCTTAATCAACCACTTTCATCCAAGTGAGGGGGAAAAATGAGCTCTTTATTTCCCTACTGTGAAACCTAGCATTTCCTTCTAACTAACATAGGCCAGATAAGGAAGAAAGAAAATAACTACTTAGCAGATCTTCCAGTGATGTTATAACAACAAGCATGAGCCATGGGCACCCAGCGGGGATTTATTTTTCCTCTGTCTCTCTTGGTTGGAGAGAGGGTCTCTCTCTCTATAGCTCAGATAGAGTCTGCCGTATGCTCCCATAGATTCTGGTTTCTGCTGGTTATTGGAGGCTCACACCTGTAATCTTAGCTATTGAGGAGGCTGAGATCTGAGGATGGAAGTTCAAAGCCAGTCCTGGAAGTTAAGTCCCCATGAGATGCTTATCTCCAATTAACCACTCAAAAACGGAAGGGGGCACTGTGGCGCAAGTGGTAGAACGCTGGGTTTGGGCATAAACAGGCTCAGTGACAGCCTCAAGGTCCTGAGTTCAAGTCCCACAACTGACAAAACAAGAAACAAAAATGGTTGAGGGTTTAGTTTTTTTCAAGTGTGAGGTTCTGGGAACAACCAGAAAAAAAAAGAAAACGAACAAAATTAAATCAGACTGAGAGACATCTCCACTGACACAGAGCTGGGGATGACACGGGGCTGGGGATATGGCTCAGGGTAGAGTGCTTGTCTAGCACGTGCAAGACCCAACCACAGCAACTCAGGAAGCAAAGGAGATTTGGTTTGCACCCTTGAAGATGTGAACGCTCCCAGGCACTGACGAGAATGGTCACTGTTAGTTCATGAGGCCTTTGGGAAACCATATACCAGCTCCAAGTCTAAAAGGGAGAGAGAGAGAGAGAGAAAGAGGGAGAGAGAGAGAGGGAGGGTGTGCACAAGCATGTGTCCACATTGGGGCTTGAATTCTGGTGGCTCAAGCTCTTTGCTTGGCTTGTTTGCTAAAGGCTGGTATTCTACAACTTGAGCCATACTTCCAAACTCCAGATTTTTTTTTTTTTTTTTTTTTTGCCAGTTGTGGGGCCTGAACTCTGGGCCTGGGCGCTGTCTCCGCTCTTCAGCTCAAGGCAAGCTGCTCTACCACTTGAGCCACAGTGCCACTTCCAGCTTTTTCTGCTTATGTGGTACTGAGGCATCGAACCCAGGGCTTTATGCATGCAAGGCAAGCACTCTATCACTGAGCCACCTTCCCAGCCCAAGTTCCAGATTTTTGCTGGGTGTTTGGAGATAGAATGTCTTAGATTTGTCTGTCCCGCTGGCTTCAAGCCACAATCCTCAGATCTCAGCCTCCTGAGTCACTAGGACTACAGGCATGATCAGCCAACTCCTGGCTTCTGTGTCTTCAAAAGTAAGCTTTAGGCGGGGCTTTGGTGGCATCTGTAATTCTAGCTACTCAGGAGGCTGAGTTCTGAGGATTGCAGTTCAAAGCCAGCCACTGCAGGAATATCTGTGAGACTCTTATCTCCAGTTAACTACCATTGAACCGGAAGTGGCACTGTGGCTCAAGTTGTAGAGCCTTAAGCTCAGGGACAGCGCCCAGGCCCAGAGTTCAAGCCACATGACTGACAAAAAAAAAAAAAAAAAGACTGGGAAGGTGGCTCAGTGGTAGAGTGCTCACCTTGCATGGTTTGATTCCTCAGCACCACATAAGCAGAAAAAGCCAGAAGTGGCGCTACAGCTATGACAACGATTGTCATAGTGATTGCTCTTCCCTCTCTGGAAGCAACATCTATAGTCTCAGGTGACAGGACACAAGGATAACCAAGAAGTAGCTGGCCCAGTGCTGGTGCTCAGTCAGCAGAAGACAGCAGAGAAAGAAAATGGAAGCTGGGCGCCGGTGGCTCACATCTGTCATCCTAGCTACTCAGGAGGCTGAGATCTGAGGATCGAGGTTCAAAGTCAGCCCAGGCAGAAATACCCGTGAGACTCTTATCTCCCATAAACCACTAGAAAACCGGAAGTGGCGCTGTGGCTCAAGCGGTAGAGCGCTCGCCTTGAGCTGAAGAGTGCGGGGACAGCGCCCAGGCCCAGAGTTCAAGCCCCGTGACCAACCAAAAAAAAAAAAAAAAAAAAGGCGGAAGCTGATGACAGTGGGCACAGTCTGCAAGGCCCAGGCCCAGGCCCAGGCGCAGTGTAAGGCAGGACACAGAGTGCTTTCCTCGAACGAGTTCATTCAGCCAGCCCTGTGATCCACGAGCCTGGCGCAATTCCATCTCCATTTCATAAAGGAAAGCAAGCCAGAAAGCAAGACATCACCCAGGCCACTGGGCCAGGAAGGGGCAGGCCTGGCCTGCTCAGAACCCAGGGCCTGGCTTCACTGTCCCCAGGGGCAGGGCTGCAGGGGACCCTGAGCTGAGAGAGGCAGAGGGAGGCCTGGGCTCTGAGATTAACACTGGTACTGCTTTGGCTTTCCCTCCGGCCAGGCCCCGGGAGTGGGACGGGCAACTGTCAGACAGAGTCTGAATCTCACAAAGGGACAGGGAGAAACCCCCACGCTGGCATCAGTGGGGGAGCTGCGGCTCACGCATGCGCACAGGTGTAAAGCCAGGATGGGCACCAGGGGGCGGTGGTGACTCAGGCAGCCTCACCAGCCGGGAGCCGGTGGGGAGAGGCCAGTATGGTGGGGGGGGTGTGGGGGGGGGAGTCGCTGCCAGAAGTCACCCTGTGGGCAGGCAAGGAGGGAACCCTGAGGTCCAGCTGTTGGGGGGGGCTCCCTACTCAGGACACCCACACGTGGCACGCACATGTGTCCAGGCTGCTACAGGGATGGCCCACCCCACAACTGGGACCCCCCTAGTCCAAGGCAAAGATGAGGTGGCAGTCCCGAGCGACCGCACTCTCCGGAGACTGGCCTCCATCTCTACTGGGCCATCAAACCTTCAGGGCTGGCCTCCTCATTGGGACTCCAAAGCTAACTTGTGGCGACTGGCCAGCCAGGTGCCCTCTGACACCTGACCTGGCCACGGGAGACGATGGCACACTCTGACAGACACTCCCTGCTGCATGGATTTCCTGAAGCTTCCCTAGAATGGCCAGGCCACTGAGCGCAAGTCAATGTGACTTGATGTCAATGTCATTGGCAAGTAATGGCTTTTACAGAGCCTCAGACCCACCAGGGGTCTGGGGTTCAGCCACAGTTGTGTGGCAAGGTGGGTACCCCAAGGCCTGGACGGGCAGGGGGACACCCAGACAGCCACCATGCAGTGAGGCCCCCTCCACTGCCATTCCTGGGTTCACACATTGGCCGGCCAGGCTCTGCCACGGACCCGCCTTGTGCCATCTGTCCCCACGGAGGCCTTGCTCTGGAAGCTTATCACCCTGACTTTCTGGGTGACAACAGCTTCTCCCTACTGGCCCTCCTGGGGAGGGGAGGAGCACACCATCAGGACCCTGTCCACAGGACCTCAAGTGGATTCTGATCTGGGCAAGTTGGGAGCCCGCGCCGCTGCCACTGCTGCCGCCGGCGGCACTGGCTCTCAGCGCTACTGGCCTGGAAAGTGGAGCTGGTGACACACAGAGACTTCTATAGGGGCCGGTGACATCACCCAGACACACAAGCTGCTGCTTTGTCAACAGGCAGCGCTGTCAGGACCTGACACCCAGGTGACAAGGTGCCACAAGGTCCTGGATGAGCAGAGCAAACAAAACCAGGCTCAGCAGCTGTTCCCACACGAGCACCTCCGCCAGGCAATGGGCTCTTGCACCTCCCCCTTTGCCCCCCCCTTAGACAAATATTTATCCAAGGCTGGGGTCCCCCTCTGCTGGGAGAAAGGAGGGGCTGCAACAGCAGGGCCTGGCGTCTACTCTGTCTCGGGAGGATGACCCCGTGGCATGTGGATGTGATAAACCCCGGTGCACACAGTAGGTGCATCTGCTGATGATCTGCCAACCCACCACAGCCTCCGTGCAATGATGCTCTAGCCCCAGCGCTAGGGAGGCAGAGGGAGGAAGACTACGAGTTGGAGGCCAGGTCAAAAGGCCAAACAAAATCCCAGATCGCTCACACCAGCTCTGTTGCTCCCAGAGGCCGTAAGGCCTCACGGTCCCAGGCTGCGGCCCAAGTCAGCGCTGCCCACGGCCGAGGGCATGCAGCCGGGTGCCAGCCACTATCTTCATGCTGTGCAGGCAGGGCCAGGTCAGCTGGCTCTGCCACTGGGTCCAGGCCAGGCAAAGGCATCTATCAGGGTCCAGGCACTTGGGGAAGGGCTGAGCTTTGGGCACTGGGCCCAGATCCATCTCTACAGAAAACCCAGGGTGACGCCTCACTAGGTCCCTGCTAGGCGATGCTTGGGACAGAATCCAAAATAAACCCTGTCTCTGTCCCCAGGGGCTCCCTGGTCAGGAGGAATCGGATCTCTCCCCAACAGCGATGGGCCAGGCTGGGCTGGGCCGGGCACCGGGCCTGGTGACATAGGCGCCGCCTATAACCTGGGGACTTCCCAGAGGTGGGGTTCTCAAACACCAAAGGCCACTAGAAGGCATGTGTTTGCTAAGCACCTGCGGAAGGAGAGACAGGTGGAAGGGAGGTGTTTGCCAGGTAAAAGGTCAACTCAGCACAGCTACCAACCGCAGGCAGCAATTCTGCTCCAGCCGAGGGCCCCAGATTCCTGCCCAATGCAAACTGCCCTGTGGCCAAGCAAGGGAGACCGTACAGAGCCACACTGGCAACAGATTGCGAGACTGGCAACAGAGCAGTAGGAAACACAAGACCCAGGAGTGCGCTCACATCACTTTTTGTTGTTGGTGGTCGTGGAGCTTGAACTCTGGGCCTGGGCCTGGGCGCTGTCCCTCAGCTCTTCAGCTCATGGTTAGCGCTCTACCACTTGAGCCACAGCCACTTCTGGTTTTCTGGTAGTTTATTGGAGATAAGAATCTCACTGAGGGCTGGAAGG